TCAAAACGTTGCTAATCGTCACATTAAAAAAATCAGGAGAAAACAGGAGAAAATATAAAAAACAGCTCCTGAAATCAGGAGATTTCTTGTCAGGAGAAAAGTTTCAAAACCAGGAGATCCCTGGTCGAAACAGGAGCTTTGGTAACCCTGATACGGAAATTAAAAAAAATAAACGTTTGTAATGAATCTTAAAGTGAATCATTTATTTTTTAAATCTTATTCTCGCTACTTTCGAAAATTCGGCTCGTGTGCTTCGCACCGCATTTCGTAGTCGAGTGAAACTCGAATACCATCTAGTTTTTATGTCTAATGCTTTTTTGCAGCATGTCTTGTTTTTTTCTTTTTTGGAATTTGTTTAATATTGGCATCATCCGTTTCGTCTACTTTTTTTTTCACTTAACGAACTGCTGGCTGAACATTTATGAGAATTATTAGTAAATTTTTTGTTACCAGCACCTAGCCTCTATAAAACAGAGAAGTTTATAGTTTTACTACTCATTCCCACTATCTATCTGTAAGACCTATCGCTCACGATTGAACTCTACACTATTTTTAAAAACCCTAACTGAATGTACAAGAAGAGGCTGCTACACTCAACGACTTAAAATATACTATATGAATAAATTGTTTTCTATGTTGAAAACCATACACCAAAATTCATTTTCAGCATCCTGTATTTTTTCATTCCGAACATCCGGAAAATCGATTTTATTTTTATATCCGATTTCGGACATCCGGTTGTGTGACCGGATGTCCGGAAGAGTGGGGACGAAAAGGGACAAACCCGATTAAAATCTTATAATTTCTCTAAGGAGAAACCTATTCATGAAATGTTAGTTTGTTGCGGCATGCAGAGAAACTCAAGACTGAATGCGACTATTATCAACAATGTCAAATTTTCATTTTTTTTCAGTCAAATATTCTTCTGCCAATATTGGAGAAAGGGAATCCAGCTAAAAAGCGATGCATAAATTTATTTTTATTTTTCATATTAGAAAAGTGTTGATTGAAGTGGCATGTTTGAGTCTACGTTGAGCAAATGCTCACGAATGACAAGTTGAGAACGTATAAGTATTTATTAATTACAATCAATATTTTATTTCAACAGAAGTTTTCTGGGTGCATATTCTTTTCTTTTTCAAGTTCTATACCGTTAAATTAGTTCAATCGTGTTAGTTTCTACAGAATATAAATAGATCTCATGTTTTGTCAGCATGACCAATTTCATTTATTTTCGTGAAATGAATATTGACACGATGATCACAAGGTCCAAATGTTAAAAAAGAACATTTTCATCGGCGAAAAAACATGACATAATTTAGAAAAAAAGACACACATCATATGATATGCATTCCATGTGATATCTGATGGGTACTGATGACCTCGTTGATTTGTTTCTCTATCGATGCATTGATAACGTAATGAATATATCAAAATTTGAAGAAACTCAATTTTTTTTCATGAAAAATTAAAATCAACTGCAAATTTCTTCAATAGTAAAAATCTCATTTCTCGTTTTCATTTAATTAATGAAAAACAAAGCAATCGATCATAAAAAAAATTACATTCAAATATAAAACAAACACTGATCTCTACATTGAAACAATTTCACAGAAGCGCACAATTCGATCCCAAGAGCCTACAACTAATTTATCTCGTTCAAAAAGATTCCAATCAAGTCCATAAATAAAATCTTTAGAAAAACGTTCTGTATGTATGTTAATATTACTATTTGTTGGTGTTAAATTCCATAATTTCAATTGCCCATCATAACCAGTAGATGCTAGACGATCTCGCCGATGTGGATCAAATTTTACACGACGAACAGCCGCCTCATGTCCTTCAAAAACACTGACTGCATTTGTAATCATACGAGTATCCCATAGACGAAGACGATTATCGCAAGCACCAGTGACTAATAAATGGTCATCATATTTTGACCAATCTAACGAAAGAATTTCAGCCGGATGAGCACGAGGACTAATAATATTCGACGATTGTTTTATGTCAAATAGACGTAATGAACAATCAGCTGAAACCGAAGCTATAAGACCAGGTCGACGAGGATGCCATCGAGCTTCATAAACTACAGATTCATGTCCTGATAGAGTTGCTTGAAGCATAGGTGAACTAAAAATTAAAATTAAAAGAAACGAAACTATCAATTAATTTTTCTTACCTATCGAAATTCCATAATTTAATTGTTCCATCACCAGATGTGCTCAGTAAAGCATCGCTAGATCGACTTTCACTCCAATGAACACACCACACTTCACGTTGATGTTCTCGTAAAGATAAGACAGGCGAAGAATTCGTTTTATTCAATTGCCATACAAGTAGTGAACCATCGCCACTCGCACACACAATCAAAGATGGATTAGTTTCAACAAAACTTACATCAAATACGGCATCAGACCAATTAAAAACTGACTGATCATGATTATTTATTAATTGTATAGTACTACGACCGCGAATACCATAATTTTCACATGAAACAATGGCTAGTTGATTGACTACATGTGGAGAGTAACGAATAGTATAGCATGCGTCGGTTAAACGTGTTTCAGCATTAACACGTAAAAGCATCTACAGAATTATCAGAAATCATCGTTTGTTTTGTCTCAGTAGAGTGTTGATTTTATTCTTTTGAAATGAAAAAACAAAATATGTTTACACACAAATGAATGTCTTTGTGACATACATGAATTTACTGAAAAGTACAAAAAATAAAGATGTCTTGTTTTTGGATAGATTATCTTTTCAATGTGTCCATCATGACCACAAGTTTGATTGATTGGATTATGTTTCGTTTAAAGACGGTCCACTACGGATGATTGTATTCAATTTAGGAGAAACAGTTGTTGTCACTAGAACGAATAATCTAGTTCATCGTCGATTAGAATCTTCTATCGAATTACAATTCAATAGAGTAAAAATTCTTGGTCTAAACTTCGAAGATATTCATAATGAACGTGTGAAAATTTAAAAGAATGGTTTGTTCTTGAGATATCGAAAGTTGACAATATTTGAAGTTCTCTTATTTTCTGTGTAGCACATGATTGTTTTTTTTCTGGATATTCAATATTTAAGAAAAATAAATATCTTGTTACGGATATAAAATGTTGAGGCGTTCACTACTAGTCCCATTCGAAACTAAACTATGAGAACATGGTCAGTTCGATTGATGAGTCACAATGAGATATCATCAGCGATAAATCTTGAGTAATTCGAATTAGTTTTATTTATCGACTTCAGGTACTTCTAAATATTATGATAACATGCATTGACTTCTCAGATTCCAAAAATTGTCTCAATACTCTACTTCTTGATATCTTACACACGATCGAGTAGATATGCTTTCCAATGAATAATATTTGTATCAAATTCAACTTCGATGATATAAAATTTAATTTAAATACCTATTTCACACTCTGCATTAGTATTCTCATAATTTCACAGTGATATCCATAATCATAGTTTTGCTTTATAAATACATCATTGAATCATGTTCATCTTTTCCTTCTAATAAAATTCCATTGTTATGATATAAACTTTAGATATCTAGAGAAATACGCTTTTTTTTATAGAATGAAGCAATAATAATAATAGTAATAATAATAATAGTGGTATTAGTAGTAATACAAAATAGAGCGATAAGAAATAATTAAACTAGCATAGAAGAAAACAATCTACAAGTAATACGACTGAGCGCGCAGCTATGAAATAAACATAGACATACAGACACACCTAAACATACACCGGACCTCCAAAAGCGATTCATTCTCGAATACAAAAGATAAAGAACACCGAAACAAGAGAACGAAAGAGAAGAGAGAAAAAAGACGACCGGAGAATGAATACCATGATGAGCGATGAATGAAGAAAGAAAAGAATGTTTTTTCTTCTCTGCTCTTTATACAAGATACGTGCATGAAAAGCGACAAATTGAAAAAGAAAAACGTAGAGAAAAAAAAAGTATTGATTTGTTTAATATAAATATATATATATGTTGAAACAATAGAAAAAATTATTTCAATGTGTTATTTATTTTTTCTTATTAGATATTGGCATGATACAGCCATTGGTGACTGTGTTTCATAGATTTTATCTAATAAAATTAAATAGAATTATTAATCTTAGAAATAGAAATAAAAACCTACTTTAAGTTGCGAATCGTCCAAAACTACCATTGGCCGATGATCCTGCACTGGGAGTTCCATGTCCACCGGAATTGAAGCGTAATCTAAATGAAATTTCATTAATAAAAAACTATGAAATACGTTTTCAGTTCTTAGGCAAAATTAAAAATTAGTTGGTTTTTATACGTTTCCCTTCGAAGCTCAACAATAGAAGAAACACGTACCCTGACCAAGTCACGCGACGAGAAGTAGCTCCTGTTTATATGCATGTATATATACGTATATTAAAAACAATAGAAATTCTTGTAAGCCCCTCAGTTTTGTTTTCCTAGATCTTTTTAATGCATACCTGCTTGATTAAGAAAAAGAGAATCATCTACATAATCCGTCGAACTTAATGCATCAGGCGTTCGACTCATACTATTTCGACCTAAAGCAAAATTCAAGAATTTCCGCCATTGAATTTATTCTATTTGTAATTTCGAAATATCTATCTAAAATTACCTTCACCAACTCCACTATCTTCACTATTTTGTCGTTTATGATGAAGTAACTCATCAATTAATGAATCGAGTGTTGTCTGATCAACCGTTAGATTATTCGTCGTAACACGATGATTGAGCATTTTGCGTATATCAACTTCCTACAAACAAAAATGAATCTGATTTATTTTTTCTTCTGATAAGAAATAATCTATTTGGAACATAGAAGAAAATACTATTACCATCAGCAAGGAACAACATAGAAAAATACAAATAATAAAAGCTCATAGCATACCATTAGTATCCTATTATTAATTGTTCTATCTGTTCATATGAATTAGTAAATAATAAGAAAAAGAGACAATTGATTATTTTAGTTTTTCTTACCATTTTTTCTAATTCTTCTTTACGTTGTTGTAAAGCTCGTTGTTCACTCAAAATTTCTGTAAGTTTATTTTTCAATGGATCTGGTTGAAGAGAAGCCACAGGTGGAGAATTTGTTGTCAATTGAGCCATACTTGTTGTTGGCGAAAGAGTTGATGAAAGTCTTTGTTGATGAAATGGCGATGATGATGTTGGAATAGGCGATGTTGATGACTGTGGAATTGACATTGGTGTTGGCGGAATGGGTACATCAAGTCGTTGGGTCATCATCGCACGATAATAGTCTATCAATATCATTTGTTAAATAAACAAATGAAGTTATTAACTAGTACTTACTTGGCCGTGGATCATCCCAATAAGTTTGTTTATGATTATGATCAATATAGTACATATTGCCTCGGGCATCGCGCGATTGTTCATAACCATCGGGTAATGGTAATGTAGCACAAAATGATTGAAAGGCTGCATAGTGATTTGGCCGTGGATCCATCCAAGTCGTACATTTTGTTATATGACTATAAAAAGACGAAAAATTGAAATTTTAATATTCAAAAAGTTAATATGATCATAAAGTAAATGAACGAAAAGAAAAACAGCCGATACATGAAAAGAGAAAAAAGGTAACGTTCCGTTTTCTGTAATTGAACGTGTGTATTCCTGCTGTTCACTTTAATTGAATATTAGAAGATAAAAACGATGTCTTACTCAATGTAATATGTTTGTCCATCGGGTGTTTGTTTTTCTTCCCAACCATCGGGTAGAGGAAGTAATGAAACTTGTGAATTTATTTGTGATAATGTTGTATTTGCAGATGCCATTGTTGTACCTTGTCCATCGAGCACAGCTGTATCACTAGCAGTTCGTAAATGTCCTTGCACATGATTATTATTAATTATTGTACGTAATAATGTTGCTGATTGTGATGGAATGTTTGGTAGACTAAGTTGATTTTTTGAATGTTGACGGTGCACAATTTGTTGTTCATTGCTAATTGAATTCGATGATGATGCAGCAGATTTCGGTAAACTATTATTTGACGATGATAATGGCGGTTGAAAAAATGATTCAGGTAAACCACGATCACGGAATGGTTTCGATTGTAGTTGTGAACGATATGTTGTTGGATTGTTCACAACTGAAAATAGTTCGTTTAATGCCGATTGATTTTGATCTTCGACACGAATATAGGACGAACGATTGCTGTTAGTCATCGATCACACGGTCAAGTCAAATATCGCCACGACTTTTATTCTGTATACTGAAATAGCGAAAAAACAACAGACTATAAATGAAAAGCTATAATTTTTTCCCCTAAGTGTGAATATGTCCGAAAGGAAATGAAAGGTGAGAAAAGAGAAGGAGATGAATATATATGCATATATATGAATGTGTCATTAACTTATGCATATGTCCGTTGGTCAAGAACACCTTCTGTTCGTTTGTTTTTCAAATGATGAATGATCGCTGCGCTCAGCTGGTTACACTTTTTCATTCATTATCATATGATTAGCGGAGAAAATACAACCAATGAAATGAATGTATCATGAAAGAGGTAATGTCCTTAGTGACATGGATCAACATGTTCGCAAAATGGGTAACTTAGGGAAATATTCTATTTAATTATTCGTTTAACAAGAAAGAATATGATATCGAATATAGAGAAGTTCATGAGATGGCAGCAAATTCAATTAAAAATATGATTTTAGTGAAAAAAAATCAATACAAGAACATCTAGAGATGGATATATATATATATTATACTTGTCTTCGTGTAAATTAATTATCGTGAATATACATCTTATTTAATCAATCTGTATTTCAGTTGTTATTTTGGATGTCAACAGAAAGTATACATTTTTCATCCTAGTTATTCTGTTAAATTCAGAAGATTATGAATAGCAAATGCTTATATAAAATCAACTGCATAGATCAATTTAATACTATAATCAGCAGTTGACTTTTGATGATTGGATGGCAAGGTTGATGGGTACTTCTTATGTGATGATGTTGGAATTGACTTTCGTGATTCAATTCAATTGAAAATTCACATTGGTACAAGTCTTCTTTCTATAAAACTATTCGACTTTCAATCAAAACTTAACGAACCGTTTAGTTCAAATGAGAAAGGTTCAGAAGATTAACACAAGTGGTTGTCGCATAGAAATAGCCCCTTCTTTGCTTCGTTATACAATTTTTCTTTACTTTTAAGTAGATTTAGAAAATCTATAAATGATTTATATCGATTAAGATCAACCTATGATTATAGATAAATACTATAGTTTAATCTTACTTTTCTAGATTCTCTACTTCTATATATATACAGATATAAATTATTTAATAAAAAAGCAAACATTGAAAAATGTCATCGAGTGATCTACTAAGTAGTACACTCAAGTGGCCAGGCAAAGGTCTTTATGGTCTCAAAAGTAGTGGTAAGTCAATGGAGGGGGTGCAATAAATTTGTCGATAATTTCCATTTTCATATTTAGTTCTTCAAACAACTGAAAACAATCTTGTCAAACAAACGATTGTTTCAGATCATATGAGAAATCATTATCGACTATTGGGCAGTGCAAAACGTAAAAGAGATTTTTTAAATATTATTACTAATAACATCATCTTTCTTGTTTTTGTTTTTCTTCTATAGCTGGAATCGATGCTAAACCCCCAAAAGCCATGGTATTAGGTCAAAAATGTCGTGACCGAGCTCGAAAAGAAATGGCACAATTGACGTATACACAAAATGTTCTAAATCAATTCGCAGCCGAAACAAATCGAGACACGCCACGTTCTCGAGCAAGCCATAGTGCACGTTCACGTCGTATTGTTCAATCACAAGTGAACATTGAATTTCTTTCCAAGTTCATAATTATGAATTTGTTTTTGTCTTAGCCAACAACATATCGAGCACGTTCACGAAGTATTCAATCGGGACCTATGATGACTCGGTCTTTAAATATGAATGGGTCAACGCAAAGTCTTAATCAAGCTACTTTTTCAAATAATGACATGGCAAATAAACTTTTTGGAGAGTAAGTAAATTCATCTGAGATTTTCAAACGAAAGAAAATTTCAATTTTCATTTTAGTGGTGTCCTAAATCAGGCGTTGACTGCCATGTCTGCTCTAGGCAAAATGACATCAACAACACGAAATAAAAGTAGTGCTGATGTTCTTGATAAACATCCTGATTCGTTTTCTCAACCGCATCCAACAGCACACAAGCCACGTTTAGTTAAACGTGATGGTACATCATCTTTAATAAACAATCGCTCATATTATAATCCACCACGAAAAGCTAAACCTCCATCAGCAAAACAACCCGATGTACAGCCAACTGTTGTTGATGAAAATAAAAAAAAAGAAGACGAACAAGCAGCACTGAGGTTAGTTAAGAAGGCAAAAAGCTAGAAACAAAAAGAAACATTGATCTTATTGAGATTGCTATTTGTTTTTATCTATATACAGTATTCGACGTGTACGGTAAGTTTATAAGTAGAAATAAATCCTTAATTGTAGAAAAGACCTGCATGATTGCACAAGTCACATTCGTAGTTACTAATTTTTTTCCTGATTATCAAAAATTTCCACTATTATGTAATACCAATATATTATTTGTTTCATTTTATTACAGAGAACAATTAAATAAAAGTTTTGAACTTCGACAAAATGTAGAAAAAAAAATTAAAAAAGCTAAAGCAACAACAATGGCGACTCCAGTAGCAAGGTAAATAATTGTTAAACATGTTCAACACACAGATTGAATAACCTCTGACTATTAGCGAAATTGAATGCGCCGACATATTTCCTACAGCCATGCATAGCTGTGACCGATCTGACATTAAATTCTTGCGTTAAATTGCTGTAGCTCTCATACCCTAAGGGAATGACATTTATTAATATCCGTGTCCCTACTTCCGTCGGAATTCCTATTCCAATTTAATTTTTCATGTCTGAGCGAAAAACTATTATTAATTGAGACTAGTTGTTTTTGTCAACATTGTACTTTGTTCCAAAAGTATGGTCGTCGTAAATAAAAAGGTAGCATTATCCTTGAGGGCACATTTTTAGTAAAAAAAAATAAATCAATCATTTCTTTTATGCTGCTATTTATTATTCCACATACGGTTCGAAGCATTATGTCCTTCACAAATTGAATAATCGAAACAAGAGAAAAAAATCTTTATGAAGTTGATAATCACAAAGAAAATAATTGTTGTGATAATTGAATTACAGTTCAAGTTTTTTTTTCCTTTCTTTCAATTAGCAAGCGATACATAAGTATCTTTGAAGAGCCTGGAATTCTAGTACTTAGCATGATAACATCGCATTGCCAGCTTGAAAGAGCAAAGTTGAGGTAGTATAAAAAATAAAACAATTTTCGAATCCATCCACTTGTTAATATCGTTTCTTTTGAAATACTTATGAGCTTCATCTATGCATCTGACAGCTAGAAAGAAAAGAAGATGTCACAATATAGTCAATATGCTAATAGATGGAACACATAGTCTTTTGTAATTTATCTAAAATCATTGGATAGCTCGTAGCATAAGAATTTTCACACTCTAACTAGTTCGCGTGTGTGGAACGCAATTATCCGTCAGTTATCTTAGCGAAGACCGTATTATGTTTTAATAAACAATTGAGCTCAATCTATATCTATAAATTAATTGTTTAAAAATCAATGGTGATTAAATATTTTCAATAAAAATACTACAATGAATCGTATAAAATCTAATAAAAAAGTCTTAATCTATAAATTATTTTACAATAGAAGAAAAGCCATTATGATATTCATATTTGACGTACTTTTATTTGAATAATTAATTTCAGCAGCTATGGAAAATAACGCTTTATATGAATTAAAATTTAATATTAATCGTTACACGTATCTTTCTTTTGTTCTTTATAGAAAACAATCTGATGAAGTTTTAAAACGATTTGGCTTGACTGAGTATATTAATGAAAAAACTTTTTAATTTGATACCCTTTGACATTTATTCTATGTAGAGATGAACGTTTACAATATGTACGATTTATGCAAGAATTAACTGATACCATAATTCAGAAAAATTTAACTACGGAATCTGCAATTGAAAAACTATTCGAAATACATATCGATCGCAACCGTGGACAGCTTAATGAAGTACAAAAATATTTTCTTTTTTTACCGATGCATTCTAATGTTGATGTTTTAGAAACGTTTGCGTGATCTTTTAGAAGCATTAAAAGATGATCTTGGTGTTCAAACATCTCGACGTAAATGATTAGCTTTGCGTAGAAATTTCTCTTGTGTATTTAATATTCTATTTATAGAATCCAATACTTATTCTACAGTTCAAAAGGCTGCTACGTATGATAGCGAGCCTATCCCACCACAAACACCTGTTACAACACGAAAGGAATCATTAGTTTTTACACCAAAAACTCCGCATGATGAAAGACGACGCTCGTCTTTTGACGTCAACGAACCATTACCTTGGGAATCGAATAATGATATTGATAAGCCACCCACAATAACAAAACGTATTACACAAGAATCGCATGCAAATACTTTCAATAATAATAATAATAATAAACAAAATTCATTCAATGATGATTATCTATTTGCTCCTTCGTCAACTCCTGTAAAACCAAAACCACGTTCATCCCTTCTAACAAACAACGACGATCATCATCATCATCATCAATTACCTGATATTACAAATGCACTAGCAACTGAATCTGAATCTGAATCGGCTATTCCAGTGAATTTAAATGCAACTGTTCGAAAGCCTATAACTGATTTAAAAAATATTGATTGGCTCACAGATCCAGAGCCAACTAAAACAATTATACAAAAGAGTCCATTACACGAAGTGGACCAACATCATTTTGAAGAGGAAGACGATCCTGTTGATCATAGTCAACACGAAAGATCATCAGTTGAACTAAACGATCATCCAGAGCATGCTACATATGGTAGCAATGATTTTGACGACGATGATAATTCACAAGTATAGAAACAGACACAATAGTAGAACGAGAAAAAAGAAATCTGACTTTTTTGTGTTTTTTTTATTCATTTTTTTCCAGCTTTTTTCTTTCTTGTACATCATTGCATTGTTCATAATATATAGATTGGTGACAAAAGAAAAAGAAGAAGAAAAAAAACTGTCTGTCTATAGATGGAAAAGGACAAAAAGAAAAAACCTCGCATCAATATTTTATGCGTTTCGGAGTGTCATTCTGCTCGTTTCCATCTATCATTCTACTACTACTACTACTACTATCACACATCCAAGTGAATGCTCGTCCTGTGTTCAACTTTAGCGATAGAGTCGAGATTTTTTTTTCTCGCTTGTCGTCATGCAATTTTTTCTCTTTTTCTTTTTTCCTTCGTCCTCTTTGTGAGCTTTTTTTGCGTGTATTACACGCTAACTCTTCACCATCTCAGCGTGCATTCGACATAGTTTAATGATTATGTGACAAGCATTATTCGCATTTGTGTATATTATTTTCTTTTTGCTTCTTTTACCATCATGAACGACGAGCAAACTACTAACATTTTTGAACAACTTCGGCATTTAGTACCAGGTGTTAACGAATGCAAAAATGAACTGGAATTTATTCAATGTATTTCAAAATATATTCTTCATTTACAATCTCAACTTCTTAGTAAACAGCATAATAAACGAGATATATTACGATCTTTGGACTATAATCAACAGTTACGATAAATAATAATATTAATATATATATGTATTAATTTTGAAAAATTATTTTATATTTAAATCGCAGTAAACAATGCATAATTGTTAATACAAAAAAACTGAATCTGATTTTATGATTGGAGCTTGTTAATTGTATTATTGGAACAGTTCTTCTTGTTTTCTTCGTTTTCCTGTTGTATTTTTCGTCTGAAATATATAATTAGTTTTGTAAATTTATCTGACTATTAAATTTTTCAAAAGAAACTAATAAGAACAGATATTTAACCAAGAAAAGCTGTTGTTGATGTTGTTATATTATTAGCTGATGGTTGATTTAAAGTTTTATCTAGATTTATTAAATTTTCCAATGACGATGATATAACTTTGAGATCGACTGATACAAACGAAGCATCTAAAATAAAATAAAAAAAACATTTTCTTAATTTTATTTCTTAGCTTTTAAACATACTTGATGTTACAGCATTCGGCAGGTAATAGGTTAACCAATAAACTTTTGATGATGATGTACCATTGGTAGTGTTTAGTTCATAACGAACCGTAGGCGTTCTATTTTTATCAGTCAATTGATTGTTTGTATTTATTTGAAATTGGTTTAAACATTGTATGGATGTACAAGATTTACAACTGATTACGTGCATATCAACACTAAAAGAAATTATACTTGATGTTAGTTGACGTTTTCGTTTCGGCAATGTAGAAGAACTGGGAATTTCTACAATTGAGCCAGCTAGTGCTGGATCATTTTGAATCATAGATGTGAATGCTGCTTGTAATGCTTCACGATTACTACTATCGGAAAGAATGGTATGGGTATCAAAGTTAGTCCATGGTGAACGAAATTTTAATGTATAACCATTTACAAAAACATCTAAAATATATATTCACATAGAGAACTGCAATAAAATAAGCAATGCAATGTTTTACTTGGCACTTGTACATAACTGATAGCAGTCGAACTATGAGATATATAAAGTGGAATCAGCGAAAGGACGACAATAATGATAAGTACAAAGCCAACAGCGAAAAAACAGCCTAGCATCGCACATGACCGAGTGTACGGGTCAATGCGGCTAAAAATTAAAAGACAAACAAGTCTACATTAAAAGCAACAAGAAAATGCTATTAATTTAATCCTTACCGTGCATTATTGTTTGCTGTCGGTTGCCAATTTTCTCCATATCCTGCATCCGTATACATTATTATTGTTTTCTTGTTTATACTAAAATTCAAAACTAACCATGCTGTTATTTCTGTTTTTTTATTAGCATCGAGAACGAAGATTATATGATTGGTCGAAGTACGGGGGAAAAAACAAGCATAGCCATTTTACGAAACAAAAATGTGCATTATGTAGTTTGATACTTGCTTTTTTCACCTTTTTTTGTATGACGTCCTATTTGGAGAATAGCGCTACAAGGCGCTCTATAGTCACACCTGAATGATTTACGAAGGCGAAATAAGCAAATATTTAAAATGAAGAAATCAACGATATCATGCTTATTAATTGCTGTTGAAAGCCAACAAAAAATAATTGAAGTTTTTTTTCCCTTCGTTCTTCCTAAAACAAAATAGACATGAGTAATCAGATATATCTTAACGAATTTTTATTTAATCGCAGAGATTATTATGACTGAAAAATAATACTATGTTTTGTTTACACAAATCTCCTCTTCTATTACGATCAATATAAAATATGTCAGAGCTATGAATTACATTGATAAATAATACAATTTGACTTGATGAATTCTCTTCTTTTTTTTTCTTTGACTTTGTTTATTGTTGTTGTAATAATACCTATAATTTGTGTTAGTTAATTCCTATATGTGACGGATTAATTCCTATGTTGAAAACTTGTTTGTTATCGCTTATAATAGAATTCATATGAAAAACTATTCAATTCCAGCTGAGATTTTCAGTAAATTTTAGATAAAGGAAAAAAACCGCTACATCTATTCATTCTTTAATGAATATTTGATTATTCTAGTGGGAATAATAAATCGAAAGATGCATTTCTTTATTGTGACTATGAAATAATGAAGTTTTAGATCAATCAAGCATCTGCCGAAATTCCTTTTTGTTCTTCTATGATAAAGCGGAAAAGAGGTTGCTATCATGCTCACGGATATCTAGTTGATTACAAGTAACAAAAAAAGAATAATTATAATATAGTCACGCAACGAGTGACGGTAGTCCCACTGCTAATTTAGCATTCTCATACACGTCATCGTCGTCTTATTGACAACAGAGTGGCAGAGATAGAAGATTAATGCTTATTTAAAATACGTCAGATAGTGTTATATTTTCATTTATATGAGATTATTTATTTAAAAAAGCAATTCATGAAATATATTTTTACAAGTTTTTTGTTCTTGTCGCTCTAATGAGATAATTAGACCATGTTTTATGCAAATCTATAAATGGTCTCATCTATCTTTCGTGTCTCATTTGCTTCTTTTTTGTTCGTGACCAAGTGACAAAATAAAAGAAACGAAGCATAAGAGAGAAAGAACGGAAACTGTTGTCAGTATTATGAATGGTCCTTTCCTTTTCCTTTCATTTTCTTTACTGACAAATATATATATATATATATATATATCCATATTTCTCTTCTTATTTTGCATGTGATAGAAAAAAAAAATAGAAGTAACATAATATAACACCGAGTAATTCCAACAGAGAGTAGGCACTGAGAACGAGTACGCCTGAGGAAAACCTGTAATAGACCCCATTATTTACAGCTCGTTTTGCTGTTTATTACCAACAGTTGATTGAAAACATTGGCATACTATATACATACGCATACTTAAATATACAAATCTTCCTAAACATACTATTTATTAATAGCTCTTTTTCCTTTCTAAGCTGTTGTCGCCGAAGGTATGATACGATTAACTATAGATATTCCGTCAAATTTCCTCTTACACATTGATCACGACTATTTCAACGCAAAAATTACAATGAATTTATAAATATATCGATATCAAATGTTAGAAAATAGTACCCGGCTAATTTCTACTATTGTTTCGTCATCGTCGTCATCATTAACAAACACTTTATCTACTTCATCAATCTCCCCACCAGAACGCGCTCGAATCATGATAAATGCAATTTACATTGCAGGTGTTGCCTTTATGGTAGGAGTTTTTCTCGTTTTACTTTGGGTTAATTTATGTAGCCAAAATTGTTGGTGCTGGCATGATACACCCATTGTCAACAGATTCAATCGTCAATGGTTTATACGAAGGTCTATGGGAACAAGTAATGATAGTGCATCATCCAAAGATCGGCAACAACGGAAATCATTAAACGATGATGAACTCGAATAAATTTATTTTTCTTCTTCTTCTTCGAAACTATCGACTATTTATTTTTCACACACACAAATCCAAGATTACAAAACACAACGCACCAGAACATCATTATTATTATTATAATTATTCTTCGTCTTTTGTGTTTACTTTTGTTTTTGTATCACATATAAATATTTTACAAGTATCTATCAAATATTACTACTACTACAAACAAACTAGTCGAAAGAAAAGAAAAGAAAAGAAAAGAAAATGATTTCAGAATCTAACATCGATTTAAAATTCATTTAATTTAATTCGACTAGTGTGCTTTTTTCAACTTTATGATTCGCGAAGTCTAAAAATCAAAATTTTTTCTGTTAAAAGTAAAAATAGAGATTTTTAAATGAAACATTTTCTATTTTAATTACTGGAAATACAACAAGAAAAAAAGAACGTTAAAAGTCTAAATGACACTTTAGAAAAACGATCTTTGATTAGCTTTTAAACACCGTTCAATTTTTTCAACTCAAAAGACTGATGAAATTCAATATGCAAATATAGTTTTACTTGTCAAGCAATTAGTCTAATTGCCTTATTTTGTGTAAGAATGTTCAAAGTTGACTAGATTCTTTATTGAAAAAAAAAAGAGTATAAATATTTCTTTTATCAACTAGAAAAGATCGTAAGTATATAATTGAAATTAGATGAATGCGTTTTCTATAGGCTAAACATGTAATATTTACTGAAAATAACTTATGGAATGCAGAGTCAATTTATTTTCCAGAAGAAGAAGAAGAAAAACAACATATCTCTATGCCTTAGTCATAGATCAGTAATGCCAAACAGTGGAAAACATACATTTGCATTCGACCGACAACTGATTGATGTCATCATCAAGCGTTCGCGATTCGGATAGAAAATTAACATGAAATTATCGATGTGCATCGATCACATACGAATGCATTATCAATGATATTCGTCTTACAATCACATATAGAATATTTTCTATTCGATAAAGTCGCATGGCGTGTGCAGAAATCATTTTCATTATCAAAATTTTATTGCAAAATCGATTCATCAACTTTGCTCAAATTGAAAATCGTATGTTTTTCAGTTGAAAATAAAATTGAATTTAAAATTAAAAAAATTCTTACAAATATAATTAATTGAATAATTTCATTACAAATCAATAAATGTCAATCGAACCAGAGAATATACATAAACAGACTTATGTTTAGTCTTTTAAATTGAATCATATTAATCTAAGAATGCAAGGGTTTAATCAACTCCCTCGATAAGATTATTACAATATTAATAAATATTGTCGTATGCATACTTTATTAAATACTTTTCTCTGACATAAATAAGAGTGCTCATATACAATGGAAAATAATTAAAATCTTTTGTAATGACACAATAGAATCAAGATTCTTTCCATTATAATAGACTTATCAAAATACAACTTCACGCTATTTTCTTCTTTATTCAGCATTTACACAAAGTATACGTCTCTAGCTCTCGTACTTTTTAAGCGTTCTATTTAATTTTATCAACGAAATAATAATATTTGACTTTATTTTTAGAAGAAAACAATGACACTAACTAAAACTATCATACAAAATACATTCACCAGTTTCTGTTGAATTTTAGTATAAAACTAGCTGAAACAAAAGTTTTTTCCTACTCAAAAGAATCAAATTACAACTTGTATCATGTACCTCATTTTCATATATGATCTCATTATCGGTATTAAGTATAGTATGTATACTAACACGATACGATATCTGTATCTATATATGTATATGTAGTTTAAAATATTGTAATTTTCATTCGTCTGTAGGCGTATTTTTTGTCAATCGAACTAATCCGCAATTAGCAAGTTTATTGTATTTTGGTAAAACTGCGCAGCATGAAAATTCTTTTCATGCATCATCACGATTGTCTTACATGAGTTTTTTCTTCTTCTCTCAACAGAACGATTATAGTACGTACATTTTATATAAAACTAATGGTTCACTTATAGGGCTTTCTTCTAGTTCATGAAAGAAGCCATAAAATGAAATGGCATAATAACTTAAAATAAACTTGAATTGCTTTTTCTTCTTCTACGATACAGGTTTTTTGAACTCCTATTGACCTTTATCTTGCAAACACATACGTCTACGGATAGAAAATTCGCTGCAGATCCATTTTTTAATGCGATGAGAAGCAGAAGCATTTATGTAGTGCGGCGCAAGTTTTTTTTTACTTGATGTAGGCATCGCAAGTCGTCGTTTGTGACCCGATGATCTCGAGTACCGAAAATCATAGAAAACTCATTGAAACGGGTGATGAACGTATCGAGATCGAACTTCTGACATGTTTTTTCTATTCTTTAATCTGATATTCCGTTCACTCACAAATGTGGCTCCAAAATAATTAAAGGGACGTCATGAACATATGTTAGCAACTATAGTCTATTCATTTACAGCTGATCTAAGATAATGAATCATGGAGATAATTAATCGATCAATCAAAATCGATCCTCAAGAATGTATCGTTTGGTAAGAATAGAGTTTTCTCAGTGATGAATTTCATCATGTCGACATAAAAAATATTCAAGATTTCTCTGAAATGTAGATTTTTCCTGGATCGAGATTCCTGCTTCGCATCGCATTTCGTATTCGAGTGAAACTTGAATACTATCTAGTTTTTATTAATGGGGTGCGAAGCACAGCATTCATGTAGTCCGTCGCGAGTTTGTTTTTTCTTTCTTTCAAACTTGAGTACGCATAAAAAGTTCTTATTAAGTGACGCGATGACCTAGAGAAGCGTAAATGATAGAAAATCCATTCAAACTAGATATGAAACTATGGAGGTCGAACTTGTTACATCTTTTTTTCCGATTTACAATACTAAATTTCGTTCGCCCAATAATATGATTCGAAAATGAAGGTTTTGAAAGGTTTTATTGTTTTATAGTTTCGCGCTAATTAAAATGACGTCATCAATAGTTGTTAACCAATAGTCTATTGTTTTACATCTGATTCAAGATAATGATTCATGAAAATAATTAATCGTTCAATGAAAAAAATCGTTAGAAAACTGGTTGTTACATTTTCAGAAAGATCTCCTGCTGATGAAATTTAAAATGGTCCATTTAAGAATAGTGAATGCGAAATTTTTATTCAAAATTCGTATACGGAAATTTAAAAAAATAATCGATTCTAATGAATCTTAAAGTGGATCATATATTTTTTAAATCTTATTCTCGCTACTTTCGAAAATTCGGCTCGTGTGCTTCGCACCGCATTTCGTAGTCGAGTGAAACTCGAATACCATCTAGTTTTTTTTGTTTCTTTCTAACTTGAGTACGCATAAAAAGTTCTTATTAAGTGACGCGATGACCTAAAGAACCATAAATGCTAGAAAATCCATTCAAACTAGATATGAAAGTATGGAGATCGAACGTGTTACATCTTTTTTCCAATTTTCAATACTAGGTTTCGTTCGCCTAAAAATATCATTCGACAATGATGATTTTGAAACGTTTTATTGTTTTATAGTTTCGAGATAATTAAAATGATGCCATCAAACAATAGTAGCCAATAGTCTATTTCTTCGCACCTGATCTAAGATAGTGAATCATTGAAATAATTTATTGTTCAATCAAAAGCATTCTCTAGGATTATGGTGATAACCACGAAAAAACCGTTTTCTCAGCAATGAATTCTATTATGATTACTTGAGAACTAAAAAAAAATGTAACGATTTTTTCTTTTTATTACAACTACTGAAGACAGGAAAAGGTGTATCTGAATATAAAACTAATCAGGTCACAACGATGTCTAATTAATTTTAAGATTGCTTGTTCCTTTTCCGTTAAATTTTTTATTTTGTTGTGTACCCGGCTTGTGCTTGCACCACATTTCGTATACGAGTGAAACTCGAATATCATCTAGTTTATAAATCTACTGCAACTTGGCACAAGTGCTTTAAAAATAGCATGCAACATATGTTTCATTATATTATTATCTTTTCCAGTATTGTAATACAGAAAGAAATGACTACACATGAAGATTTTCTTTGTATTTTTAACTCATATTATTTGCTTTGGTTGAAATCCGATCCTATTCTTATACATCACATAATTGTAAATGGAAGGTTTCTTGTGTACTCAAAAAACAAAGTGAGTACACTATAGAATCGGTCAGTGCGTCCTGCCGCCCGGCCGTTTACACGATAGCTCCTGAAAGGCTGATTCGATTGTCATGGAATTTTGTACACAGAATGATCTCATCAATATCTCAGTCGAGTTCGAAGATGAGAGGGATCCGTCAAGAAATGGCTGACGAGGGATCATTCCCAAGTGATTCGCACCGTTTGGTCTAATATTTTGCTCATAGGAAGGATCCAATGAGACTAGGAAAAGCCTAAAAGATTTCGTGCCATTAGGCTTTTCCTTCGAAGTAATAACCGTTTTACTGAATTTTCGACTTTGGACAAGGAATTTCGAACTGAAATTTTGTCTAACAATAGGTCTCATTGGTGTTAGAAAACTGTATAACTTTCAGTTAAAGATGATGCTTTTTTTTAGAGATATTGCAGATTGAAGAAAAATCAATTTAACGATAATTTTTGGAGGATGGTCGTTTTCTTTATGCTACAATATCTCGTTAAAAAGGCATCAGTTATAACTGAAACTTTTGGAACGTTCTAACATCGATGATACCTATTGTTAGACAAAATTTCAGTTCGAAATTCCTTATCCAAGGTCGAAAATTCAGTAAAATAGTCATAACTTTGAAAGAAAGGCCTAATGGCACGAAATCTTTTAGGCTTTTCCTAGTCTCATTAGATCCTTTCTATGAGCAAAATATTAGACCAAACAGTGCGAATCACTTGGGAATGTTCTCTCGTGAGTTATCGAAAAAATTGTCATTATTGACCAGATCATCCCTGAGGGGGGGTACAGGGATTTTATCAAAAAAAAACATTTTCTCAGTATTATTCACAACATATATAAATCGACTCAGGTTTTGCAGTACACATAACAATCGGATGCAAATCCGATGTTTCCGCATTTTTTCTCGTTACTGTTAATTTTAAGTTTTTTTCTTTAATTTGACTGAAAGAAAAAAATAGTCTATCGAATGATTACTTAAAAAGTAAAAGTAAAAGTTGATCAGCTGACGTAGGTAGCCTTTTCTTTTTCTGTTTCTTCGAGAGGTACTGTGTTTCTTCTTTTCGCTTTTCGCTTTTCGCAAGAAGCCGTTTAATTGCTGACTGAGTGGTGAAAGTAATATGAAACAAAGAACAAAAAGAACGAAAGAAAAGAAATAAATTTCATACGAAGAGTGTCTGTCTCACAGAATTTTCTAGTGGTAGTGAGAACCAGATGTCAAGTCGAGCTGCACTTTTTTCTTTTTATACAAGCATTAACAAGTGTACGCGTGCATCAAAGAACCAAAATTTATGCAGCGAATTGATTCGAGCATGCCATTCCTCTTCTTCTCTGCAAAGGTAAGTAATTCTGTAAAGCACGTGAGTACGACCGCCGGAGTAAATATTGCCAAAAAAAAGGGAAATATAAGAAACTTAAAAGTTAACAACCTATGCGGGAAAGAAAAAAAATTATTCCAATTTACATTTTTTTCTTTCTTCGTGTAAAAATTCTCTTTTTCTCGATCAGAGAGAAAATCCACGAGGATTTTTTTTGTGTCAATAGATTTAATCCTAGTCAGTAGTTCTATAATCATTTTATACATGACAATACATCTCTGTAGTAAAGGTTATCATTACTAGTCGATAGGCTTTTTTTCAAACGTAAGTAAAAACACAGTGCATATTTTATAACCTTGGTTGATGTAGAATTATTTTATTTTGCAAAAGTATTGTTCGTGTTTTTTTGCTTCGTAACCATGGAGTCATGACAGAGAGGTCAATATCTTCAGAAGAGAATCAGCACTCTACTATCGTATGCTGATGCAAGTGAGCGTTGACAATTAGATTGGTTACACTAAATAACTAGAGATCAAATAAAACAAAATCTCATTTAATAAGCTTAAATCTAGTGATTAAAATTAATTGATACAAGGAAAAAAATGAATTAAAATCATTCTTTAGTTACCGCGTGCGAAAATAAATAAAAAGTATTGAATACGTATTCATATAGATATTCTATTATTTTTTATTTTAGTAATTTTATATCATTTATTGTTGTTTTGAACCCTAATGATCATTGTTCAACTGAAAAAAAAATATAAAAACCATTCAATTATTTCTAAATTAACCTGATCGAATGCTTTTTATACACAGCATTAAGACAGATCGAATATCGTCTAGAACTGTGCAGCCGATAATAATACTGATTAAGAGCTTTCGTGCTCATACTCGCGAGACAATTTAAAAGAAAACAGAACTGTGTACGTTCTTTTCCTTATTTTTTTTTCTTTTTAATAATGAATATAAAACAACATTTTAATGGTTCTTTTCTTTTTTGAAACTTCTCTATAGTATGTTTCGACCGGTATTCATTCTCAAAATATTAATTATATCACTTGCTCTCAACTTCACTCTCCTGCTATATTTCTTATTACGAAATTCAAACAATCAAGCGCACACGAACAGAAACAATCACTATAATGAATACAATGATTATTATTCACATGAACTTGATATACTATCAACAAATATCAAAATTATACCTATGCCTATGTTTATGACAGCAGAACCTTCAAGAATTTTATTATCCAATGATTTTAGTATTCTATCAAAAGAAAAGCCTTCGAAAGATCTACATTCAGCTATTCGTCGTTATTCAAAATATATTTCATCGTTAACAGGAAAATCAATAAAAAGTAACCAAAATATCGCACCTTCAGAGAAAAAACTTATTATTAATTGTGCGTCAATGGCTTCAGAAAATGAGAAATATCCAGCACTCGCTGAAGATGAATCGTATGCACTTAATATAACAAACACAGGCTCATATTTATATGCATCGACATTGACAGGTGTTCTTCGAGGGTTAGCAACATTTGTACAATTGATTGAACGTAGTACATCATCAAGTAATTGTTATATTCCAGTAGTGCATATTATTGATCGACCTCGGTTTACGTGGAGAGGTTTAATGCTTGATGTATCGCGTCATTGGATGCCGGTATCAGTCATTGAACGAACATTAAATGCAATGGAATTAAGTAAACTTAATGTTCTTCATTTGCATCTATCGGATGATCAAGGCTTTCGTGTTGAAAGTATTCAATATAAACTATTACACGATACAAAAGATTTTTTTACACAAAAAGATATTAGATATCTTGTTGAATATGCTAGACAGCGACGTATACGTATTGTGCCTGAATTTGATATACCTGGCCATACAACAAGGTAATTAATAACCGATTAATCTTTTCTTTCAAATCAGAAAAAGAAAGAATTTCTTTTGAAATTCTAATTCGAACAAAGAAAATAGAAATTAGAAAGATTTAATATTTGTTTTATTTTAGTTGGTTTGTTGGTTATCCAGAATTAGCTACTGAACCTGGTCCATATCAAGTTTCAACTACTTGGGGTGTTATAAAATCTACAATGGATCCAACTAAAGAGACTACATATAAATTTCTAGATGTATTTTTTGAAGAAATGACAAAACTATTTCCTGACCTATATTTTCATATTGGCGGAGATGAAGTCGAAGGTACTCACTGGGCACAATCACCAACAATACAAAAATTTATTTCCGACAATAACCTAATAAATAAAAATGGTTTACAAGCATATTTTAATAAACGTGTACAAGCCATGCTAAAAAAATATGGAAAAATAATGATAGGTTGGGAAGAAATTCTTGACGAAATGCACGAAAATTTAACCATAGATAATGATGCTATTATTCAATCGTGGAAAAGTCGAAAAGCACTTGTTAATTCCATAAGTAAAGGTTATCGAAGTATTCTTTCTCATGGCTATTATCTTGATCATCTTTCACTAACTTCATTTCATTATAAAATTGATCCAATTGTTAATGATGAGTTATGGTTATTCAATCAAGATCAATTAGGCCGAATTCTAGGTGGCGAAGCGTGTATGTGGACTGAATTCGTTGCACAAAACTCTGTTGATTCTCGTATTTGGCCTCGTGTTCTTGCTATGGCTGAACGTTTTTGGTCTTCATCTTCGATTACAAATCAAAATTTCCTCTATGAACGTCTCTTTCATATGAATCATTTACTGGATAAAATGCAAACAGGCCTGACACATCTTTCAACGTATACGACTCAATTACAAAATTTAATTCTTGATTCAGATAAAAAAACAAGTCTTCTACATCCATTCGTTATTCTAGCTGATGCTTGTGAACCGTATGGTTTTGACCAACGTACTCAGAGTGGTAAATATACATCTCAAGTGCCGTTGACCACATTTACTGATATTTTACAATGTGAAAGTGAACTTATATGGAGATTAGAAAAAATGCCAATTGATGATAAAAAGTTTCAAGATATATTTCAAATATGGTCACTTAATCATGTACGTTTAAGATCATTATTTGATACTGTCGAACAATCGAAACAGAAACAATTATGGGGGCAAGATATTCAAAGATTATCGGAAAATCTTGCAGAAGTCGGTCGCATTGGTTTGGCAACTTTAAATTATGGTATTAAAGGAACATTTTATAGTGGTGAAAATAGTACAATGAATTCCATGACGTTGATACAGTGGGCTGCACAGCAGAATATGCTATTGACTCAATTAGAAAATCAAGTGTTTGAAGTACGATTGGCAGCTGTAAGACCCGTGCGACGTTTACTGAATTCGATACAAATATTTGTTTAATTGCTTGTTATTTTATTTTGCTTAGAAAAGAAAAAGACATAAGAATAAATAGATTTGCTACTCATCTGTTTAAACGAATCTATTTTCTGTAGTTCAAAAAACAAATGCTAAGAGGAAGGCACACCATATAACACTACCATCAATGTGCCCTTGACGTCATTGTCAATTGTCTTCTTTTCTATGTTTTTCTTTTGTAGAATTCGCATATATTTTCGAAGAAAATGGTGAGTGTAAGTTTCAACGCGAGATTTTTGCGGCGGGGGGGGGGGGGGGGGGGGGGGGGGGGGGGGGGGGTGGGGGTGGGGGGGGGGGGGGGGGGGGGGGGGGGGGGGGGGG